GGACGAAGGAAGGTAGATTGCCAAATTGGCTCGAACACAATCTTTAACAAGAATGTACGCGCGCAATTTTTTTTTTTCAAAATTTTACTAATTTTCGGATGAGATCAGAAGGGAAGTCGGTGAAATTTTCAGTCAAAAGTGTCCGAAGTTTCCTTTTTAAGATTTTAATTAACGAGGGGAAAGACAACAAATAAATGTTGTTACGTTCTTTCGTGAGGGAACGAGCGAATGGATCGTATTTGATACTGGTTCGATGTATCGTTTGGCTCAAAACAGTAGAATATAACCCCGAACCGCAATTTTAGGATATTTGTCAGAAAAGCTGAAAATAAGAAATTTCGTAGCAATGTCACTACTCTTGGCCAATAAGTACTATACGAATCAAAAATCTATCACTAAAAACCCGTCCTGTCAGATTATTCAATTGACTTCTGAGGCCATGTTTATGTTTTGAACCAATCGATATCGATATAATCTCACCCGTTTGATGTATCGAATACAATCTATTGTGATGCCAAGCACACATACTTTTGAACCCTTTTTTCGGCGGTCGGAGGAAAACCCCGGTGAGTTCTAGTGCCTCATCTGACAGCGCGGAAGTACGTCAGGACAAAAGTAGGAACCGCCTCCTTCTCAGTCCTCAGGTATGTGGGAATGACTGTGCGCTGTTATTAGTGCCCCTCGAGCCCTGATTATTGGTTTACGTTCCTCACGCTCAGCAATTGCAAAGCGAAGCCACTGCTGAGCAGACTTGCGTTTTTGATTGGCTCTTTGGCGAATTGCGGCCTGTGGAAACAGCTCAATCTGGTGGAAAAGGAACCTGACAGCTCAGAGCGAAAGTTCCAGTTCAGCCACGATTCGCGCGGTTCCCGACTGCAGGCATTGAACAGCTTTCCAACTTTTCAGATTGTTATTGATAATAAGTTTGGAAAAATTAAAATGCCTTCTCTATCAATGATACTTCAGAAAGAGGTAGAATGGATGAAACTTGGGGGATGACAGACAAATGTATTCCTCTGTCTTCGTCTTGGATTTCAGATACATTATTTTGTATAAAAAACACAGGAATACATAATATCCAATCGAGGCTAAAAAATTCAGAAACTCCTAACACCGTGACTTTTGGGGTCCAAAAACCACTATTTTTAACCGGATATAATGAAGATAGATGTAGAAGGGGAACCGATGCTAAAACGTATGATACACATATCATGGCGGGGTTCACACGGAGGTATACAGTATACAGTACACACGTCATGTAAGTCCTGTGATACTGATGCTTTCAACGTATTTTAAAACTGCATTGAAACCTGACGTATGACCAAAAAAGTAAGTTCTCTGATTGAGAGTATTTCGAAGCAGTTTGAGATCATCGCAGGCCGCGGCCGACGAGATCATGATGTGGTGAACCACAAGGAGAAAATCCTGATAACTATTTTGAATTGCCTGGGAAGAGTGCACTCATAAGAGCATAAACATGTCAGTCATTCACACCCTAGTCACGCTCAAAGATATGGATGAAATAATGTTGAGACGTCTGTAGAGCTCTCTGCAGAAGTTCGGCAGCATTTTTAATTCGTTTTACCACGAAACAACGTCTTTGTAGGCAACGCCGATCTTACACTTTAATGGTATTTTAAGCTGACGGATAAGAAGGATATTGAGGAGGGAGTTCAAGCATCTAAAAGCAGGGGAAAGAAGTAATGCCACATTGCTCCACTGTGAATACACAGAGAACCCAGGTGCCTCGTGGCAACGTTGATTTTGAATGGTTCTGTTGAATTTGTTGTGAATTAGGCCCTAATAAAAGCTTTATTTTGAAGAAAAAATCTCATCATGCTTGTGTATGAATGAGATTTATTAATCTCGGAGCATTGCAAGGAAAAATCATGGAGAAATTCCACCGGAGTTAATATATTTCTTTAGAACATCTCTACCATTATTTTGTTAAGAATGTTATCAACCTCTCTGATGCTGCAGGAGTATTTTTTGCAGTACTCTGAAGATATTGAAAAAAAAATTAGAATTTCGCAGGTAAGTTTACAAATAAATAAATGTTAAAAAGAAAAATAAAAGAATAATATAAAGAAGACGCGGTTAAAAAGAATAATATAAAGGGCTTGGAAAACAAGACACACGCGTACAGTTTTTGCTATTTCAAGCAAGCCGTATTCAAAGTTTCAAATTTACATGGAGCCTCATCGCAGAGGGAAAGTTCAAACTCACTATATGATGATTGAAAATGGGATTTTACTCATTGGCTCCCTACCGGTTGAGCGCTAAATAATATAGTCAAGCACGGTAATTAGCTTTGCAGTGATCGCTATTTAATACATGCATACATGAGTCGCTTTTACAGCGCTCTCTGGTACTCTGCGACGCCTAATCGCCACAAAACTCGGTCTTCCCACAATCGATGAGGGAGTTGACACTCCCTCGAGTGAAACCCCCTGTCGCTACCCTCTCACTGGGCGTCCCCTTCGTCTCCTCCCAGGAGGAACCCAATCAAGGACCTTCTTTGGCAGCCTCTCTTCCGCCATCCTATTAACATGACCGTGCCAGACACGCTTATTGGTCATGACGTCGGACATGATGTCATTTTCGACTTCCATGATATGGCGTCATTTCATCGCAATTCAATTATTACACTAAAAACAAGTTTGGTTGCACGGACCGAAAGTTAGGTGTTCAATACCATTCCAACTATTTAGTTAGATAAAACGAATTCTAGTTATACCGATGGAACAACGAACGTTCAGCGCAGACCGAGCTTTTTTTCCGCATACTGGGTGATCCAAGTTTAAACGGCCAGACTGCAGGAGCGTGTTCTATAGTTCAAAGTAAGTCTCTTTTGTTGTATAAAGTTTTTTTCCGAAAGTGCCCCCAGTCAGAGCTACGCCCCCCCCCCAAAAAAAAAATCGGAAAGTAAATAGTTTTCCCTGCATTTTGGCAACGGTTGTGAACCAAATCTCATGAAAAGTACTCCCCTATACTTTTACGCCCTGCATTCATAAATGATCTAAAAAAAAATATACTCTTATGCCCTGAATTCATGAATGATCCAAAAAAAATCGAAATCCCAATTTTGAGAGAGGTTTTGGGGGTGTTTCGGCTCCTGCAGACTGGTCATTTAACCCTGGATCAGTGGATCACTCTGTACACTAAAGTTCATTGCGGCAGACTTTATTCTTCTGATTGAGGAGGCATATAATCGAAGATGAGTTAAACTGGGTCCCGAGAATCATAAACCGTTGCTTGAGGAATGATTGAGTGAGTAATTGAACTTGAGGAATGATTGAGTGAGTAATTGAATTTATGAGTTCACAGTGTAAACTCCCTCTTCCTCCTTCCCATTGACGTGTGGGTTTTGAATAGATGCGCGACAGTGGCGTGGCGTGCTTTGCGATAAATCGCTTGTTGTGACATTGAAACCTATGGCAAAGAATCGATTATTAAGGTGTTCGCTGTGAACACCCTGTTTATCGATCCTTCTCCATAGGTTTAAATGGCATAACAATCGATATATCGCAAAGCACACCACGCCACTGATGCGCGAATACTCGTGCATGCACGCACGTAATTAATCGCGCGCGGGAGCACGCGTTGCGAGCAACAGCGTGATCGGAGACTTAATCAAACGAACTCATTATTAAGCATGCAAGGGCGCAAATTCAATTAAAGAATTTCCATGGTTATGATAACTTTGCAAAACCGTTGTTTGTACTTGTTGGAGTTGTTTTACAACAAAGTACATCAAAGAGAGGCAATGCGCTGGGAAATCGAGCCTGAATTGACCGATCGGTTGGAAAGTTTGAATTTATCTCTTTGTTGAAATAAAAGTTTCGTCGCGTAAAATTTGAAGTAATAGGTTTTAGATAATTTATAGTCTGCTGAGGTAGAAGTAGTGGCAGTTTGAAACTATCAGAAGCGGCCCGGCTGGGAGCGCTCGAAATTCTGGCGAGTGCCTCACAGTGGCATGGCGTGCTGTGCGATACATCGATTGATCTGCCATTTAAACCTATGGGAAATAATCGATAGACAGGGTTCGCAACGAACATCTTAATAATCGATTCTTTACCATAGCTTCGAATGGGGGAAAATGTCGGTTGTCGGTCATTCACGTTTCGCCACTGGTGGCTCAGCAGGAGGCCGCGGCAGTACTCCTCTGCTCGTACTCTGTTAGTATAGATTTTAGGGCGATTATGATTTGTTAGATGGTTGGGAACAAGTTTAAAATTGAATATAATGATAGGGATTTATTCTTCAGGCGCGATCTTCCAACACCTACCTATTACTTGCTGGTTTCTTTCTGTTATGGCTATATACTTCCCTAGTTTACTTATTTTTTGAGGCTATCTCCAACTATTAGAAATTGTTCTACTAGGAAAAATGGCTATAAATATCCTTTAAACGTACTTCTTCCTAAATTCTTAGAATTAATCACAAATTGAAGACTTTTTTAAAACTCCGATGCAGACTTTTTGCAAAAAATTAACACGCGGGCATTAGGTTTGCACGCCGAAGTAAACTATCAGTAATTAAAGTGGTATCATGCAGATTTTTGTCACGAAGTTCCGTGCCGCAGTTTCCAAAAAAAAAAAAAAAAAATTCGAATTACTTACGGATAAAAAAGGGAAAAGCACTATGCGCTATGTGTAAACACTCACACTATGCGCATCGCTTGACTCACCTCTTTCACAAGGATACGATTGCCAAATTTGAAGTAAACACCTGCACAAATTTTTTCTCGTAAGAGGGGTGACCGTATTTATCGCATTCATACTCAGAATTAAAGAATAAATGAAAATAAGTTATGTATGTGAAGGAACTTCTATGACTGCAATGGAAGGAAAAAGCTCAATTTAGTATTGCACGTTAAAGTGCGAACAGTTTTTCTCGAAAATTCAGAAAATATGGATTTGCGATAAGAAATTTGGCAGTCGTCCTCCTTATTTTTCTAACCTCCAGACTGCACATTGCACGAGATCGCAAGTTGTGCCTTTATAAAAAGACCGCGCCTTTGGACCCTCTAAACTCCTCTACTCCTTTTGCAAGAGATCTGTAAAACAGGTCAGGTTAGCCTGGGTTTTCACGTTGAAAAGTGAGTACGTGTATTGTGTTCGTAATTACTTATCATTACTATTATGCGACTTTCAAAACCAGCATTCCTTTGAAACATGAAGTTTTGAATACAAGCTGTAGATTAATTTTAAATGACCATTTTCTCAGAACATTTCTCTGAAATGTATACGTTTTGATGCGGTTTATTTTAATTTTAGTCCAATATAAAGGAAATAATGTCCAGCGAGTGCAAGTTGAGAAAAAGAGATTTTAAGTTCTAACCCACCCATAGATTTTTTTTTTTTTTTTTTTTTTTTTTTTTTAGTTTCTGGACAGCAAGTTTTTTTTTTTTTTTTTTTTACTACTTCAAATAGCCCACAAGGGCTAATCCCACGCTTTAAGTCCCATCCCCCCTCCGTCCCTACTGAACCAGCCCCAGGCAACCATTGTTTGAGACCATCAAACTCGGGTCGCCTGGCCGGGAATCGAACCCGGGACCTCCCGATTATAGAGCAAGCGCTACAACCACTACACCATAGGAGGCCGACAAGATTCAAGATAAAAAAAAAGGAAATGATTTCACTCCGTATTATTACTGATTGAGGGTGTTTCACCAACCCTCTTTGTTATTATGACTTTAGAAAATCAACGAAAAGTTAAGCTCAAAATATTCTTGACTAAATTATTTTAGAAACTTTGGTTTAGTTCCTTTTCTTATGAAGTAAGTTAGATTTAATTCGCAATGAAGCTATTTATACATTCTTCGCTGATTTACTTCCTTATGGTCTCTAATTATCCAAATTTTTTGATCCCAATCTGTACAACTTATACGATAATACAGTTGTCTGTAAAACTGCGCCTGACAGCGGTCGGTATCCGATTTTGAAGCATTTATTTACTTGCTAAATACAATTATGTGCACAATTTTATCATCGTTCCTCTTTTAGGATGAGAGGCAGAAAAAAATCTACCATTTTCCACCATGCGGTTAAAATTTTCTTCCTTTTGAACTGTGTGATGACGGTCAGCTGCAGTAAGCGAAAGCTTACCTCTTTTGGGACACTTGGGACGATTCAATTTGAGGCTGGAGATACGATCCTCGTCCCTTGTATTCCAGTGGCCGGACGTTTCACTTTTCCCTATCACGCTTTTTTTGCCGTTTCTGATGAGAAACTCTTTAGCGTGCATGCATCAAAATCAAAATGGAAGTAAGTGCAAAGCTTGACTTGAATCAATAAATTGGCTTGAGCAACGAGAGTCCAGATTACTCTTAGGAAGGCACTGATTGGTCAATCGATGAAGGCCAAATGGGTCCGTTCCAATTTTTTTTTTTTTTGAGCAAAATAAGAATTGTGGAAATATGATTAAGGATATATGAATAATTGATAAGAAATCGGTAAAAAATTGACCCATTTTTACGGCAACCAACGCTTTCGGGGTGATACTGCGTATAGAGCATAGCGACGGTGTAAGTCGGCAATCACATAACTCGGTTTGCGACGTCGCAGACTTCTTGTCATACTTTATCTTTTAAATGGAAAACTACTCAACGGCAATTCTTTAAAACTGTCATGATTTTTCTTCTCAATTCGAAGAAAATTCTGCAAAAACTTCAAGAAATAATGTCGATTTGTTCTCTTTTAAAAAAATGACGTACAGGCGGAGATTTTCAGACACCGCAAACGAGTTATGTGATTGCCGACTTTCACCGTCGATAGGTAATTTCGAGAAGAAGAATTACTTTTGTTTTACAATCCTCCGAGCAAAACTTAAAATGGCCACCGTCAAGTTACACAGTTCCTCAAATAGGAAAAAACGATCAAAATACTTTTTCTTAAGGAAGAAAGCGAGGATGTCTGATGGACGGCATTTGTTGAGTTGTTCCTATATGATAGAGTCTCTGCGACATGTTACAGCGGCCATTTTCAGTTTTGCGTGGAGCTTTGAAACTAGGGTGACCTGTGTCTGTACTAAAATATTCATTTGTCGTATATTACTTTTTGAAGCGCAGGCAACTCAAAAATAAGGAAATTTCTAATGCAAGAGTGAATTTTCAACTTTTTCAATGTGCTAATCGTGATTATAAAGCTAATCTCTATCAGCAACAGATTCTTGTTTTTACTGTGGCAAAAGTTTTTAATAGACCCACCATAGCAGTGTTCAATGTGTTTTCCTTTATGGAAGTCACAGGGCTAAGTAGTCAATGGAGATCAAAAACACAATAGGGTAACGCATTAATTTGACACCCTACAACGCGATGACTAAAATGAGCAAAACGGTCGCTAAACTATTTCTGCGAAATGTTAATTTCCTTTTTTTCATCTCCACCCCTCTTATACTTGCATCAACCATCTATAGCATTCAGATTCCATTTGGATTTTTTTCAATTTTCCGGCTGTTTCCTTCTTTCGCGTCTAAGCTCAGCTGTTAGAGGCTGACGAAGTCGTTGAAAACCCTGTTAATGACGTGGCGACGTGGCGCGCCGTCGCGTCGAGGGGAAGACCGGGGATAACGTTATAACGACATAACGTCATAACGACATAACGTTATAACGTCATTTCGACGACATCATCGGGTGCTGACGAGGTCATGGAGACCAGAACTTCAGGGGTCAATATTTTGGATAGGGATGGACCGATTTTGAAGGTTTTGACATCCAATGTTACGAAGAAGACTTGGATTCGAGTTAGATGGAATAACCGTTCGGCACCAGTTGCTCTTTGAATAGGAACAACAAACAACTCGGGATAGAACTCAAATTACGACATTTTTGGAGATGGAATTTAGAATGCATTGATCGAAAGAGAGATAATTACAGATTTACAAGATTTAAAAATAGTCACTAAAGGATGTTCCAAAAGGGCGAAAAAGGGGCACTACGTACTAGTACGGGTCAAGATGGAAATGGACCTAGATTTTGGGGCAGCGCAAGCTTTTATAGACTTGCTGACGTCACAGGTGGTGAGACAACAAGTCTACACGGTATTGGCTGGCTATAGTCAGTGGAGCTATCAGTTGCAAGTTCAGTAATTAAATTAATGGGAGATTGTAGGTGATGGCTGGGAGATAGGAATGAAAAGACAAAAATGAACGAAATCCAGCCATCCCTAATGAGTGTTCTGAAGTGAAATAAGAAAATTGAAAGTTTAAGGGACAAATATGAGAAGGTGTTGACATCCACAAAGGTCAAAACTGTACATCCTTTCCGAATTTGATTGCTTAGTAATTCGAAAATTGTGACGGGAACCCCGATTTTCAATGACAAGAACTAGAAACAAGACGTCCCTTTCAGTATCCGAGAAGATCTGGAGGGGCTTCAGGATGCTGATTCGGATTGCTTGTGGTCGATTCCCTATTCGTCCTCGCGGTTCCAGACTTCATCCGCTCCAAAATGACTGAGAATGAAGCCTGGTATGCTGCCGTGCTAAGGAAGAACGGCGTATAAGCCTTCAGACGTTGCCAAATTTCATTCGATAATAACAGAGTTTACTAGGAAAACTCTTAATATTATTTTCTAAAATTGTTAGACAATGGACCACTATAGACAAGGTACGAATTTAAGCGATCTGATACATGTTTCTTAACCAGAATTTCACGTAGAAAACGATTCACACACCGAAAATTACGGAAACCAACTCCTAACGAAGATATTAACGTTTTTATTTCACATTGGTTACGAGGAATTTGAACTGCCCGCTCACAAGAAACTCAAAACTCTACGTGAGTCAAATCGCCTACTACAACGGTTTCAGCAAGCTTCTCAATCGAGCAATGTTCATTTCCCATCACGTGTTGTTCAAACTATTAGCAATTTGCTACAACTGAGCCAAAGCGTCAAGATTGAGGTTGCCAGATTTTTATATCGCAGAGACTGTCATGATAACGTTTAGCGCGCGATGTGAATCACGTAGAGCATTGAGTTTTCATGAGCGGGTGGTCTGAATTCACGCATTAAGAATCATTAAATATCTTCGTAAGGAGTTAATTTCGGTAATTTTCGTTGTGTGTATCGTGTTTTACGTAAAATTTTGGTTAAGAAACATGTATCAGAATGCTGAAATTCGTACCTTATCTAGTGGTCCATTACGTACGCAATTTGATCTAAAATATCTGAAAATTTCAAGGGAGAATATACTTAATTGCGTCAAAAATACATGTTTTATTCGGCAACTCTCGAATGTTCATACGGCGTTCCTCCTTATTAGCACGGCAGTGTGGATGGTCTGGAACATCGTACAGCGATAGCCTGAGTGCAAAACCAAGTGTCTCCGTTTGCGGCGTTGCAGATTTCCTGTCATACTTTATTTTTTCCTTGGAAAACTAGACAACGTAATGTTTTGAAAGCTTCCTTCATTTTTCCTCTGTCAAAGGAATATTCTCAATGAACTTCCAGCAGTAAAGTAAGCTAGTAAAAATAAAATCGGAGGAGAGATTTTGGAACACCGCAAACAGGATTTTTTAACAGGTTTCTTTTTTTTAACATCTAAACATATGCTTTAGGAGATGTAGCGTCAACTTGTTTACTGTTTTGAGCTTGTTTCAGCGAAACGAGGCCTATTATAACTAAGCGAGGTGACTTAAAGGACGACATGAAACTGCTCAAAGCAAAGGTGGTAAAGCCAGACCTCTCGAGTGATAGAAAGCTCTTGGACCTGAACGCGAAAGCAATCCCTCTCGCTTATAGGATGACCAAAACGGATCTACCTTACAATTTGTTCAATTGCAACTGCAGACATTACTGCGATTTCCTCACCTATGGCAAAACGTACGGGACTTATTTAAACCCTGGCTATCTACCCATGAGCAAAAGGTGCCCTCTCGCAAATGCCATCGAAATACGCGATGGTAAGTTCCAACTCGAGGACAAGAAACATCGCACATACAACTTACACGGGCCTAGGTGGCTTGGTCCTAAGAAGGATCATGTTCTCAAGGTCGAGCACCCTGAACACACCTCAACCGCGGATAAGTTGCGGCACGATCCGGATTCCGTTCTCAAGGTCAAGGAACACCATGAACACACCTCAACCGCGGATAATAAGTTGCGGCACAATCCAGATTCCGTTCTCAAGGTCAAGGAACACCATGAACACACCTCAACCGCGGATAATAAGTTGCGGCACGATCCGGATTCCGTTCCCAAGGGTAAGGGTAAGGTGCGGGGTCATCAGACTCTGCATGACCTATTCAAAGAATCTCACTAAGATCCAGGCTCAGACCAAGGTTAGTAAGACGAAGATATGCTCCTCTATAACAAACCATTCAAAATTGATAAAATGCTCAGTTGCGTCTAGAGTGCCTGTATACGGGAGAGTATTGCCATCTCTGTGCCGCTCTCTGCTTGGTTCATCAGTTTAAGGCTTTCATGGAGCTCCTAAGTTGGCCCAATGTAAACAAGCCCGACAGAGGAACACATATTATCGGCTGGGATATGAATGATAATCACACTCAAAGCTTAATTTCCTGCAAAAATATTAATCAAAGTTCGATCAGAACTCAATTCAGAAATTGGATATAAACAAATTCTATCACATTCAAAATCACGTGTAGAGCTTTGTAGAACTTTGTCGTCATCTTGTTTGTTTACATCGGGTCAAACTAGGAGCGGAGGGGCTAGGGTTTCTTTACATTGGGCCAACTTTGGGGCTCCGTGATAGCCGACCTATCAGAGAGCGGCACACTTTTCCTGTGGTAAAAGGATTGAGATGGCAGTACTCTCCCGTATACACAGGTACTCTAGTCGCGTTGATTTTTTTTTTTTTTTAGTTTTGGCGGGAAGTTTGAAAAAGGGTTCCGATTCTGCGATACTCGATTCTCATTGGCCCGCTTTTCTCTAAGTCTCTAACAATTGTTTAGTGTGCCCGAGTCATGGCCAGCACTGACTTCTTCGACCAACGTTTGGCTCGGTTGAAGAAGTTAGTGCTGGGCGTGACGTGGGCACTTAATAATTGGTCAGCACATGGGGAAAATCGGGCCAATCCGGATCCAATTTTGCAGAATTGGGATCCTGTTTCAAATTTAGCGCCAAGACTGGAAAAAAAATCTATGCAACTGAGCGTTTTGTCGATTACGGATGCTGGCATTAGGGAGTAGTATGCCTTCGTCCTAAATACTCGGGCCAGTTCTTGAAACTTGCGGGCCGATTATTGTAATTTTGTGTTTGTTGGTCGGACATTGATGACAAAGGTTATGGCGGAGCGTGATTGGTCGGTTATGTCTTATCGCTGCTTTGTCGTGCTTTTGTCACTTTGCTTTGTCAGGTGGAATGGCCGACATACAGTCGGAAACTCAAGAGGTCCCTTTATCTTGTCATGGGATCCATCGGACAAAGGCACGACAAAGCAGCGATAAGACATAACCGACCATTCACGCTCCGTCATTTTGGCTGAGTTTATCAGAAAGGAACCAACAACCAACACACATTTTCGAGAAAATTGAGTTACGAATGTTTATGAGTTCTACGAGCCTTTTCACCTGCGAAAAACTGAAAGTCAAAAATCAAAAGCAAAAAATTGTGACAGGATTAAAGTTTATTTTTTACATCGAGCTTAATGCAAGAATAAAACTTCAAACCTCTTTTTCTCAGTTTCAAATTAATATGGGTTAGTTCCTTTCTGATGAGCGCGGTCCATTTAACTTATGTCATCTATGTCCGCCCAACGAACACAAAATTTTCCAAAAACCTTTCCAAAAACCAGAAATCTTTTTCAAGTTTATTATGTATTACAGTAGATTAGATTATGAAGATGAAGAATAGGCTCTACACATTTTTTTACCACTTCCCTCTTCCCCTAGAAGATTACTGTGTAAAGTCTTTCATCTGACATTATTATATTGTTTTCCTTTAAATAAATGAAATTATTACCCGAAAATTTGGTAAAGCTGATTATTAATAATTCGTTTTAACTGAACAATGCAATGCACTAACGAGTTTTAATAGGGTTGACCGAACTGTTAGAGATGTGCCAATGTATTGGAATCCGCTTAAAATGCACGCAACGTTTTTTTAAAAAATTTCATTTCTCGTTTTAGATCCGTCCAATTTTTGGTAACTAAGGGACCGTTCAAGTATTGACGCAAGACATTTTGGCCAACAACATAAACATCACCCTCGTTTTTAATAAATTAACGGAAAAAGCATGGAAAGTTATCGAAACAAATATTTTCATTGGAAAAGATCAGTATTCAACGAAGCAGTGTTGCATGCCAGTATGAGCTTACCTCTCCTTCCCTTCATCATTAGACCCCGGTAGGCAAGTTAAGATACTCTCCCCCTTAAGTAGCCTAAAGTAGCCTACATAATACTTTTACGGCCACTAAGTGCTCCATTTCTGTCCCTAAAGTACCCGCAATGATATTAGGAAACATCTCGCGCATCTTTGACTTTAAAAACAGGGAGTATTACGTGATCCGCGTAAGAGGTACCCATAACATCCAGCTAACAATGACTGGAGATGACTCGCATGGTCAAGCCTCAATGAATTTCCAAAGCATATCGCTCGAGGATGACCCTCTGGAGACTGATCGTCATATGAGCCCCCCCCCCTTCTTAAACGTGGTTTTTCTTTTTCAATTACGTCAACTTCGCTCCGGACACAACTTTCTGCAATTGCACGCAAGAGCGCGCTCCGAGGGGTTTAGAGCGAGCCGAAACACGAAAAAAATGATAACAAAGCGAAGAAAGGGACTAAGGAATAAAAAAAAAAAATAGCATCCGATCGAGCCAAGCCATCGCAGATGCCAGATTTATCGCTTAAAATCTAAATCCTATGTCCACTGCTTATTTTGAGAGTAGGTATCCAATTGTTTTCTCTGTAGGATGTGGAACATTTGTAGGAAAACAAAAATTCGGACAATTATTGAGTCTTTGTTGTTTGTTAGCTCGGAAATTGAAAATGTTTCAAGAAACGAAAAGAACTGAGTAAAATCGAAAATTTGGCGGTGAGAGGAATAGTTAGAGGATTACTTCCCATGAGCAGGCACCGTAGAGAGCAAGTTCATCAGATGCTAAAGAGAGATCGACAGGTCAACGGCGATGCTTCAATTGTTCTGTTTGAGTAAATATATGTGACTTAAAACTCTTGAGTTTAATGTTTAATGTTGGAGTCGGGGAGAAGCCGTTTTATTAAACTAATGGTTTTAAAGATTTAGTTTCTGAAAAGATTCTACACTCTGTTCTACATGAAACATATTTTTCAGTCTTTCAGCTGTTAAAAAGAAATATCTGCTTCTTGAACTCTTTTCATTTTTGGGTTCAAGGAGTCGCACACCTTGCATTTCTCACAAAATCCTCACCTTAACTTGGTCCTATGTTAAGATCGAGTCGGAGGTAAAGTAGCTTTTACAGTTTAGTCAGTTCGAGTCATTTTTGCACGGTGTTTTCGTTGAAATAATTTTTTCTTATGATTTCCAACAGCAAAAATCGGTGCGCTGCGGAAAATCAAAACAATCATGCAAATTTGTTTTTTATTCAAGCCGTTCGACCGAAAAGCTTATTATTTTAGCCTGGTTTAAAAGTTCAAAATGTATAAACGTGGCCAAAAAGTTGGATGTAATCCTCATTTTTTTTTCTTTTTCTTTTAAGAAATCCTTAGAAAAAGTTATTTGAACTTTTCAGAAGGTCGAAAAATTCAGAAGTTTCGGACTTACGCCTTTTTATCGGACACCGATTCGGGCGTACCTTTTCTCTCGTTCCGTCGAATTGGAAAACGGGAAAACGGGAAAACGCTCCGATCGGCAACACGGGGAGGAAGTTACTGTTATCGAGGAGAAAAGAAAAGTATCCATTTAAACTATGAGAGGCGGTGAAAAAACGCGCGTGGTTACCGGGCATTAAAGCCGATCCTTGCGCGCTAAATTTAAATCACTCGGAGGGATTTTTTCTCGCAGCTATTTGCTTATTCAAGAGTTTTTTCCGTCCTCGCCAGGCTTTTCCTTTCCCGCCGAGAGCGGTGCCCCCCCCCCCCCCCCCCCNCGGGGGAGCGGTGGGCTAATCTCAGCTAATGCGTGTTCACGGTCCGTCATGGGGACGTTGCAGGAGCGCGGGTCCGTTTCGGATCTGCTTAACTTACTCCAAGCATGAACCGAGCGTCTACTCTTCTTTTCAGCACACTTTTCTCATCGTTGCCGGCAGAAGCGCCCAATTGCGGATTTAGATTCGAAGGACTCATTTTAGAGACCCATAGGACCGTACTGCCGTGATAGCGAAGAGAGTAGTAAGCATAGAGAAAAAAAATGAGGTGTTTGCATTTCGGGCATCTTGGAATTTTTTGATGACTTGATGACGTAGGTGGGTACAGTTGGGTACAGCGACGTCCCCTTCACGCTGTACCCACCTACGTCATCAAGTCATCAAAAAATTCCAAGATGCCCGAAATGCAAATACCTCCTTTTTTTTCTCTATGAGCAGTAAGTGCAAAAATGAAGTTTTGAGAAAACAGGCTCAGAAGCTTCTGACCGGAAAATTTTATTGAAGGAAGCCTCGGCTCCTTGTCAAATTGCCACTAAATGTCCGAAAGACTCCTAGAAATCGGTTTGGATGATTAAAAATCGACTGATTTTATTTCAATTACATAAATAAGGCATTTTTCATTTTCATGCTAGGTTATTGTTAGGCAAAACAACCGTAGGTGCTATCTTCTGCATGCTTTCATGGTTGCGTTTTGGACACACAACAAACGCATTTTCAAGTTAGGAATTGTCAGAGGAGGGTGGTACTTTACTTGAAAGCACTGTTTTCATTGGCTCTCTGGAAAAACAATGTCACTTACTGCTGTCTTGCCTAAAACTACGTCATTTTTTACGCATTGCGGTAAATACCAAAAGAACGTAAATGTAAGTGTCTTTACAAGGACTGTATGGTAATAATTTGTGAGTCGATTTTTAACTGGTCAAAAGAATATGTCTTCACACTTCAAACATTTTTGGCAACGTGCTCGCCTTGCATAATAGGCCCTCAATGGGTACTTCTTAAATTTGCTGTACAAAAGTCTAGGTGCTCCCCCAGAGAAATGTTCGTAGTATAAGAGCTTGTTAGCTCGAGGCCCCTCAAAATCCATGTTTTCGGATCTACATGTGACCAAGATTATTCCATGTTAGGTGCACTTATTTTGTGATAGTTCAAACTCTAAGTTCTGAGAAAATTTTCAATGTACTGTGGTAACAAACTACCTGGGGCTGTGAGTTATAATAGTTGAAATGTAAAATAGTAGAGAATGTGCACTTGGCAACGGCGCATTTGGTCTTTCCTCGAAATGAAAATCAACGCAAAGAAATGCATTGATGTCCACGGAGGAACGTCCATCTACATCGCTGTTTGAGATACAGCAATGAACTGAACAGAACATTAACTCCATAGAATTGCTTTGTTGCCAATATTCTTATCAGAAATGCGTATTTAAATGGACCGCAACACAGGGCTGGAAATTAGTAACGAAAATGCTTGTTTTTGCATCAGAATTTCAAGAGATATACCTTTCGTCAAGTGCCGGTAGGTACTTTTAAAATTTTCAAATTCACCGCATGACTGAAACAATTGTTTTTCATGGTCGTTAAACCCTACTTCATTGAAAAAAAAATATGGCAGAATTTACCAGACTTATGTTTAATTCTATCATGAGTCTACTTACTGTTTGACACAGTAAAGTTGTAGGGTAAGGATATTTGGACATCTGGTTACAATGGGCCTGTTGCAAACTTTTGCTAGAGCAAAACTAAGAGTTGTTTCTTATAGATAATGCCTCAAAAATCACGATGAGCGCATCGGCAAACTCTGAAATGCACTCATAACTTCACAATCTGCGTAAGAAATTTGCGGTTTTTTGAGCTTCCCGCTTCAAAAACGATACTACGGCACAGGTGAACATTTTGTAAGAGGAGTCGTTCCATCGTCGGCAATACTCATCATAGCCGACGCCAATCCGCCAAAACACGTTTGATGGGACGAGATAACACCTGAACTGGATTAGACCAGATAACAATCGGTGTGTTAACGTTCATATTTTCCACTCCCGAATGGATTGACCTTGAACTCTCCTTGAATTACGCGCGGAACTGCGTGCAAGCGTCGGCCATGATGAATATCGCCGACGATGGAGCGACTCCTCTAACAAAATGTTCACCTACGCCGTAGTATCGTTTTTGAAGCGGGAAGCTTAAAAAAACGCAAATTTCTTACGCAGATTGTGAAGTTATGAGTGCATTTCAGAGTTTGCCGATGCTCTCATCGTGATTTTTGAGGCATTATCTACAAGAAACAACTCTTATTTTTGCTCTAGCAAAAGTTTGCAACAGGCCCATTAGCATAACTCTGGTGATTGCGGTTGAAGTATTTGCTGCCAAAAAGTCTATTGGTGGTTACCACACTCATATCACAGTATCGTAAACCATAATTGGACCGCGTTAAACAGAAAGGAACCAAGCCACATCAGCTATTTCCAAATTGAATTGGGCAATTTAATTTTTTACATGAAAACGGTTGTGCAGATTTTCGTGCGAATTTCAGTTGGTTTTCTCCATAGTACGAAGCAAATTCTTTCGAATTTTTCAAAGGAATCCACACAAACTTTCTCTCGTAAAAAATTGAATTGCCCAGTGAAATTTGGTAATAGTTTTTGTGGCTTGGTTCCTTTCTCTTAAACGCGGTCCAATTTTTTTCGGAGCTAAGTAAATGTCAAGTTGTCTTACAAGAATATTATATTCTTAGCGTGTTGAATTTATTTAAATTACTTTATCCATTATGTTCTGAAGAGAGGAATATATCGACGGTGAAACTACCAAACCACGTATCTCGGTTTGCGACGTCGCAGACTTCCTGTCATACTTTATTTTTCAAATGAAAAACTACTTAACATCCAGTCTTGAAAATTTCTGT